GATAAACAGATAGATGGATAGATAGATAGATATAGAGTTGTCAGCAGTACAGATCATTGTTAACATAACGTAACTCAAACAACACTGTGTCATTAATAGGTCTGCATGGTATTTACCAGTAGTCTAGGAGACAGAGAGAGCAGACAGAGTTCAAGCCTGATCCTTTTATTTGTTCCGCCATTCCTCTCTCTCTCCATCCACTGTTCCCTTCATCTCTTTACTGCCATCCCCTGATTTTCCAAGCTCATTAACATCAATAAGATTTCCCCTACCGCAGCTGTGACTGGCGATTTTCCAGCTCTACACTGTCTTGTACAGCACGTTCTGTCTGAGAACCAGACGGGCTTTCACCAAGGTTGACTGCTTGGTAATCTAGCTTGTATTTTACTTGGTAGACTTTTAACATGGAAGACATTTTGTGATGCCACACTGTAGGAAATTAATAAAGAGTACATTTCATTTAGCTGGTTTGGTGTCAGGGTGCAAGTATTGTGGCTTTTTAGTTTAGTTTGTGGATCAGGATGTAGACCTGAGGCAGGCTTCAATCTGGTCTTACCAATTTCTGTTTCTGCTATCAAACGTGACCACACCATTTTCATCTGGAGTCCACTTGATCCCTGGAGAGAGACAGAGAGGGAGAGAGAGAGATCAGAAGCTGATGGTTAGACGGCAAACTGCTGCATGGGTAACTGGTTTGATGGATGACTAGAGAAACAAGGACGAATGGTGACAGACTGTCAAACAAGAATGTGATGAATGACGTTGCAAATAAGTAAAAGAGGCTGTGTCACAAATCCTCCGCTAATTACTCCTCTCACTCACACACACAGAAGAGAGCTCATCAGCAGCCCTACTGTAGCTGACACTGAGTCATCACATTTGAGCAACAGTCTGCTGCATTGTCAGTTGCTGTGTAAGTATTCTGTTTGGCTTGTGCAGCTCATCCACGTCACTTGAAGAGGTGCAAAGACGCTGAAATTTATTTTGGGGACGCGTGTATGAGGTCCAAAACGAATCTGTACCTGGGTACAGCCTGAAGAAGCCTGTAGAGCTGCCAAAGTACTGCCACGTGAGAGTCGGATCCTTCTGGAAGTTATCGATGAACACGTCATTCAGAGCCTCGGACATGTAGGCTCCATTGAGAATGTCTGGATCTATAAACAGTGACAGAAAGAATAAGATAGATATTCTGATGGCAATAGGATGCAGCACACGGTGTGTACAGGGAGGTGAAGAAGTTACCTCGGTTGTAGACGTTGGTGGGGACTTGTATGTTGCTCAGTTGTGTGTTGACTGGCAGTTTATTGAAGTGTTCATTTTCCTCCAGAGGGAATTCTCCTCCCAGTGGCACTGAGTTCCCCTCCTCATCGTATGTGTTGATCATCATGGAGTTATAATAATCAAACTACAAACACAAAAACAGATGAGGCTTTATATTAATTATATGATGAAATATCGAAGACGTCTTTAA